CCTGGTGCAGAGGTGTATTTTCCAGCCCTTCCCCCTGCGCTGCTTACAGTTTCCCCATTGTCATGTGAGCGGATTCATCTGGGGCCATCTCCCTCCCCCAGTGATGATGTTTTGTCATATTTTGTCAGCGTTTCATTAGCCAATCCATCCCAGCTTTCATTACTGCCGCCGGCCGGCCCCGCATCCTTCTGACAGGGACTGTAATGAGAGCTGAAGCGGGGACAAAATGAATCCATTAGGGTGACAATATTCAGCTTGTAATCTCACGTTCCTCGAAACATGCATTAGAGACAGAGCGCGCGCCCCAGCTACACGGCCCAGCTCCCTGCAGCAGCACAGCCGTTCCTGGTGCGAAAACGGAGCAATCAAACCGCACCTTCCTTTCCAGGATCTCAAAGCACTCACAACCACTCAAGTATTTCCCTCTCACAACCCTCTGGGAGGCAGGGCTCACGCTCCCCACTTTATTGATGAGGAAAATGAGGCACAGTTTGCAGGTTCCTCGGTTTCCCCATCGATGAGACAGGAATGACACTATTTACCCACTTCAGCAGGTAGTTCCAAGGGTTAATTCGCTAATATTTGTACCGGACACTGACACGTACAATATGAACAGTGTGTGCTGTTATCTCATAGCCTCCCGCATTCCATCTGGGAACGAGTGCTGGAGACCTCCCGTTCCATCCCCCGCGCCCAGATTTGCTGCAGTATAAATAGCGCCTCGTAGCACAATCAATGCGCTAGGGTCAAAAGCCATTCTTCAGATGGTATGAGACACAGTCTGCTCTCAGCGACGCCAGTGCAGCCCCACTGGCTTCAAAGGGGAGAAAAGAATCCAATTTTCACCTTTTAATAGCTTTCAAGGTCCTGCACAGAACCCAGCCAGGAGCTTATAGAAAACGGAAAGGCTCCTTTATCACTGAAAGCACCTGGTCGGCCGTATTGTAGGGACGCTGCCTGCTCTCTCCCAGCACACATGGGACTGAGCTGACCAAATTCTCCACACGTCATGGGCCAGATCCTCCTTAACCCACTGACTGCAGCCAGGGCCGGCTCCAGGGTTTTTGCCGCCCCAAGCAGCCACCCCCGCCCCTCGCAAAACAAAAAACAAACAAACAAAAAAGCCGCGATCGTGATCTGCGGCACTTCGGCAGGAGGTCCTTCGCTCTGAGCTCCACGGTTCATTCCAAGCCCCAAAAACCTTCCCTGCAGGAACTGGGGGCACGTCTACACAGCAGCCGGGCGATGTCATTCCCAGCTTGGGCAGACAGACACACGCTAGCTCTGCTTGAGCCAGTGCATTAAAAAGAGTGTGGCTGTGGTGGCCTGGACTACCTACCCAAGGGTGATCCCATCCCAGAGCCTAGGTGTGTACATGGGTGGCTAGCCCGTGCCACCCCCCCATGCTGCTATTTTTCAGCACGAGCTCGATGAAAGCAATCACATCCCCCAGCCGGCGGGTGGGCATATCCCACAGAAGCCGTACTGGATCGTCTTTGCACTGGGAGGGGCCGTGTGAGTTAGCAGAGCATCCTCCAGGATTCGTGAGGAACCCCATAGACGAACTCCAGAAGGCAAAGTTGCCTACAGCCATTGTGGAAGGTCCTTGCTGGCTGCTCTGAATACCTGACAGGAACAGTCGCACATGGGAGTTAATGACAGCAAAAGAAGAGTCTGGTTAGCATGCCCAGTCATGCACAGAGAACTCATCCAGCCCGTGGGCATGTACACCACAGCACTAGCCCCCACCCACAGCACGCGAGGCGTTAGACTCCCACAGCTCACAGAAGCACTGCAGGTTTGCACAAGCTACTTTAGCAAGGTCCGAAAAAACCGAGGGGTGGGTTCCCGCTGCCCAAGCAGGCTGTGAATGGGATGGTCCCGTCTGGACGCAGTGACCGTGTTACACTTTCCCCAGGTACTTTCAGTCTGAATACCTGAATAGCTTTTCTATTAGATGAAGGAAAGCAACCAGCAGAGAGCGATCGAACAGACCGTCTCCCTGGC